GATAGATAGATAGATAGATAGATAGATAGATAGATAGATAGATAGATAGACAGACAGAGATGTATACTAACACCTGGATACTATTATGAAAAGTCAGCTGCCTTCCTTGTTTTTGTTTATAGCAATAATTGTGAAAGGGATGCTGTGATCATTTCTATGATAAATGGCTTCACATCCATTTATGCAGCTACAGTCATATATTCAATCATTGGATTCAGAGCAACAGAAAGATATGATGATTGCTATAGCAGGTAAGTTGTGCTTACTTCCTAGTTAGTATATTACTGCTGATTGAAAGAGGGTTATTATTAGTCTAATATTACCACCAACTACAGCAACAACTAACAGTACATGTGGTGCGGAATGGATGGTGAAATTGGGGAGGGCTGTCCCTAGCAGTGGGTATCAAAACTTTATGAATATTGTTCATATTTATTGATAGATTAGACCAAATGGAAACTTTTACCCTCAATCTTGCTCAATGTCGTAAGAGAAATGGCAACTGCAACTATTTGTTTCATTGTGACCCAGATTATAACACTGAAATTTTTTTGGCCTATTTCCTTTGATCTTTTGAAGAAATATCCTCACTTTGATGAATGCGTTTGATTTGCCCGATGGTAACATAACCGAGAACAATTTTCTGGAGATGCAAGCTTGGTGTAACACAACAAATCCAGAAATCTTTTCAACCCTGAAGTTTGAAACCTGTGACTTGGATGCATTTCTAAGTGATGTAAGCTGATAATATAGGGCTATATATTATCACTATATATAGGGATAAATGTATAACGATGTATATTTGCTAGGTTAGAATGATAGGAAGCATTAATGTCACTTAAAATTACATTTTTAAAAATTGATAGAATGTATGAGGAATTTGGGGTTTTTAAACATAATTTATTGATTATTTTTTAATCTACTTATGCTTAGAATTTTCAGATGTATTATGTTTTCTATGAATTATGTTTCATTTTTTTCCATCTCTTTCTTACTCACCAATTTAGCAATAGATATTTAAATGTTGCCCCTGTAAACTGTGCATTTTTCATGGTTAATGCTAATCTAGATAATGCAGACCATGATCCAAATGGGCCTTGGGTAGAAAGAAAGGATTTAGGTCAAAATAATAAACAAAGCAAACTGGTTTTTCATTTTAGCCAACCTTTGTAAATGGGGATTAGACTTGAATTAACAAAGATTAATAGCGATTTCCATCGACTGCTCAGCTGTGTAAAAAAGATGGAATATTTTTATGCAAAGAAGAACATAGGAAGAACCATGCTGGTGTAGAATGATTACATCTCATATTTTTATTTATACATTCAAGACAAGACTCCACTGCCAAACCATTTATAGCCTAAATAGAACAATGGGAAAGCTAGGGAGGAAAAGAGCTAAGCTAATAAAATAATGAACTAGACAAAACAATTAGGATGATAATGTTGTTTGTTTGTTTTAACTATTTACAATCCCCTTTGCATCCAGAGGAAAAAAATTATATAGATTTAAATATGGACTAATTTAATATAGATTTGTCAGATAAATATATTTGAAAACGAGTACTGCAGTAGCCTAATGTATTATATAACTTTTTTCTCTAATTTGAAATCCTATGTAGGGAGTAGAAGGAACTGGTTTAGCATTTATTGTCTTCACTGAAGCCATCACCAAAATGCCCATTTCTCCACTTTGGTCAATCCTCTTCTTTATCATGCTGTTCTGCTTGGGTTTATCATCTATGTTTGGGAATATGGAAGGTGTGCTGGTACCCCTGCAAGATCTCAGAGTTATACCTAAAAAATGGCCTAAAGAAGTTATTACAGGTAAGTTGAAAATGGTTATATAACCGGGAACGGAGTTGATCGTTTGCCCTGGTTGCAACCCGGATAGATTGCAGGTCTATGGACATTTTTAAAGAGATATGAAGTTTAGCTTCAGTATGAATAATTAATCAAGATTTTAAAGATAAGATGGTAATTGCACAGTCAGTTTGCTACTTGCTCAAAAACTTAATTCTTAAGCAGTAGATTGAGAAAAGAGAAATCAAATACATAGCTGCTGAATGCCACTGATGGATGATGAGTTCACTTTTGCATATTAACTCTTTTGAGCTGGATCTTTCTGACTGATGAGGTAAATTCAGAAAGCAACACTCTTTCAATTTGATGACTATTCCTTGGTTTTGTGCCTGCTCCTAGGGACAACGTGATGGGTTTGAAGAACAACCTAGACTAGGAAATAATGTAGCTCAGCACTGATTAAAAGGACTTGTTCTATGTACCTATCCCCTTGCTTGAAACGTGGAATGAAATTCATATATTGATAAAATGTCATAATCCTTCTGCTTTTTTGTTTATTTGTTTACAGCCCTGATTTGTTTGGGATCTTTCTTGATTGCCATTATTTTTGTGCTGAGATCTGGTAACTATTGGTTGGCTCTTTTTGATAGCTTTGCTGGATCCATTCCCTTGTTGATAATAGCATTTTGTGAGATGTTTTCAGTTGTCTACATATATGGGATAGACAGGTAAGTTATAGCCCCCCAAAAGGTATAAACCATCTTTTTATTAGGCAATCAATAATTGGGAACTTTCATGATAAGCTTAAGCAAATCACTTTTTCCCATCCTTAAAAAAGAGAAAATCAGTAATTTAAAAATATAAGAGAATGTATGTGCATTACTTTTAACCTTAAAAATAAATAAATATGGACCTCTATTTATTCTAGGCAAATTTTAAAAAAACAAAACAAACCTCCAGAAACTACCAGTGTACATTGGACTGTTTAATGTGGGGTTTTATTTATAACCTTTATGCTTAGGGTTAAATTTCCATACATGGCATTTAGTTTCAGAATAGTAGTAACCCCACCTATCCCTTTAAGTTTCCTTTTAATTAGGACCTGGATATATCTGTTATCAACTCTGAAAATTTCTTAACCCAAGAGATTAGGAAGGTTTTCAATTTCTTAAAAAGAGCTGAGAGCTACCCTCGACTAAGGGCTGAACATACAGATACAGCATTAAATTTTGCTACAGTCACTGAGCATCATCTGAATGTGGTTGAAAACCACTGCACTTTGTGTGACGTGAGCAGGTTCTAAGACTCAAAATTTTCCTTTCTCTTTTAATTACCAGATTTAATGATGACATTAAGTTCATGATTGGGCACAAACCCAATATTTTTTGGCAAGCCACCTGGAGGGTTATCAGCCCCATCATCATGTTAATTATCTTCTTTTTTTACTTTGTGGTGAAAGTGAGTGAAAATTTAGAATACATCACCTGGGACCCCAGTTATGTAAGTATATGTGTACAAGGAAACATGTTCCAAATTGCGTCTTTTCATGTTTTACTATTTGTTGGAGATTTTTGCAAAGAAAAATAAGCAAAAGAAATGTTTATCCCCAGGGAAATAAATTAGCTTTTTTAATGTGACTAATGGCTAGTTTATTGAAGTATGTCTGCACTGCAAGAAAACTCAGTTGTCTTTGTGGGACATCTTAGAATTATTACAGGTATTTTTTAAAAAATGATTGAAGAAATATATGTAACAATAGTTTTGGGAGAATGGAAAAAAAATGGGAGAAAATCTTTGTCTCAATTATAAAAAATGCGACTTGCATGCAAAAGGTCCCAGGTTCACTATCTGGTTTCCTCAATCAAAAGTTTATGGGAAAAGAACCTTTTCTAAAACCTTAGAAATTTGTTGCCAACCAGCAAGACAATAACTGAGCAGAATAGACTGCTGGACAGGTCTCTGCCTGTGGCTGATCCAAACTGAAGAATAATTGAGAACAGTTTGAGAAATTCGGATGTATACTTTTAATAGTGCTGATGGTGAAATTCCAGGTTCTTATTACTCTGCTAGATGTTCTGTAATATGGACATGTCTTTTCAACCAAGGATCAGAAAATTCACAGAAATATATTCTCCATAAAATTGTACTTAGCCAAACTTTGATGTTTGTTTGATATTTCTATTTCTTTCTGTTCATTGTTTGGCAATGGAAAGAGTAATATAATGTTTCATCTATGAAAGAATAAAGTTAATGTAAGACTAATCCATTCTGCTTGGGTAATGATTCAGAGGGGCAAAATATAACTCTTGCAGAGATCACTGAGAAAATACAAGAGTGGAAATGATCATACTCGGTGGATATAAGGAATTCTCTTAAAAGTTAATTTCACGTTAATTTCTGTGCAACTGCTGTTTCCCAGCTCAAGTTGCAATCATCTGTTTAACCTAAAAATAATACTCCTTGCCAAGGAGTATATTGCTTATTCAGTGTTTCTAATGTGAATGTATCTAAGATTCTTACTTCCCTGTCTTGCAATTACTTATCTTTTTCTCTTTCTTGTTATCACAGGAGAACTTCCCAAAATCAAAGTCAGTGAATTATCCTGACTGGATTTATGCCATCATTGTAATCCTCGCAGGAGTCCCTAGCTTGGTTATCCCTGGCTATGCCTTATACAAAGCTATCCGAAATCACTTCAAGGGAGAAGATCCTGTACAGCGAGATTTGGTCAATGCCATATCAGAAATATCAATAAATGGGGAGCTGAAGAATACAGCATAGCTGTCTCCGAAGATTCGGTGTGCAAAGACTTTCAGTGAGAGGTGGTAAAACGGAGATGTCTCCCTGTCTCGATCCGAGTTGTTTCAGAGCCTAAATGGGAACTGATATATTCTCATTCTAACAGCGTTTGCTGCATTAGAAAATGGGTAATACAGATGTCAAGGATGTCGTGTTTCCTCTCCCTCTGAGCCCCACCTTGTAGCACAGATACAAGTTTTATGTTCAAATAATATATTATTAAAGAAATTATACTTGCACAAGAAAGCTATTTATTTATTTTTTACTGTGCCACCCATCTTACAAATTATAGAAACAAGTGAAAAATAGTTAAAATGTGAACAGATTAAAACAAACCAACATTAAACTATTATTAAAAACTGCACTAAAATACACACCAAGAGACTGATGGAATAGTGATGAAGTCTTCTTACAGGATCTTCCAGCAGGACTCCCCAGTCGTGCACCAAATTTGCCTGGGTTAGTGCAACCCCAACCAGAGTTAATGATGATAAACCACTGGATCCAGAGATCCCTGGTAGCCCCAGCCACTCCATCTTGCCTGTGTTCAGCTTAAGACTGTTGTCCCCTATCCAGACATTTTACAGCCTCCAGGCTGTCAGGATTCCGGCAGTTACGCCAATTAAATCATGAGCCTCAAGCCACACTCTCAAAACTAAAGATGATTTATTAGAAGTTAACATTCCGGCATTTGCCTGGGCGTAGTCAACTCTGAGATATGTAATTCACTGTCACCCTTGACCCTGCTTTCCCCTGCAACCCCTCTGGGTGTATCATCCAATAAAACACGTCCATAGCCACGAGTCATCAACTATGCTCTCCAATTAGATTTTTTCACGGCAGAAGCTTCAGCCATCTAATCAGTCTTTGAAGAAAATATGACTGGAATGTACTTTTGATTTCACACTGTTGCCTGCTCTTTGAAACTCCCCCTCTTCTTTCTATTGACAACTATAAAACGTGTATACAAAATGTTTTATGAGTTGACATTCAGCTCCCCTCACTTCTTGAAGGTGACTGTACAGCACACACAAAAACAAATTGATTGCAGATATGGAAGCTTATGCTCACAAAACCCACCCAGGCTTGGTTGAATTTCCTGCATGGAACCTTGCTACAAGGCGATAGGCTTGGACGTTCCTACTCTTTACCCATGATGCCTCTGATAAGGGGTAGCCCTTCCACTTGATTAAATATTGGAGTTGTCTCCTATGCCCCTCGAATCGAAGATTCACTGCACCTCATAATGGGTTTGACCTCCTATGATCATGGGATCTGGGGGCTCACAAGATAGGGGCCTCAGCGTTGATCCAACCACGGGTTTTAATAGGCTACTATGGAATACTGGGTGAATTTTCCCTAACAATCAGGGCAACTTCAATTGCACTGTGACTGGGTTGATGATCTTTACTATGAGGAATGGTCCCATGAACTTTGGCCCCAATTTCTTGCTAGGGAGCCTTAACCTCAGATATTTGATGGAGCGGTAGACCTTCTCCCCAACTGGAATGGTCATTGTGGGGCTCAGTGTTTGTCTGCCTGTCTCTTATAGGTCTGTGCCACTTTTGCCAGTGCTTTTTTGACATTCTCCCAAGTTGCTTTCAGCACTGACATCCAATCGGTCAGGCTGACTGAGGAGGGGGGGTCCCTTGGATACTGAGGCATTGGACGAAGTCCATGCCACTCACTACCTTGAAGGGGGTTAGTCCCGTGCTACTGTGAACAGTATTATTGTACCCAACCTCCGTGAAAGGCAGGAGGTCTGCCCAGTTGGACTGCTGATAATTCATGTAGCACCTCAGATACTGCTCTACCGTGGCATTCAATCTCTCTGACCCCCATTGGTGCTTGGATGAAAGTCCGAGCTAACACCCTGGGACGACACAATAGACTGCAGGAACTCCCTCCAAAATTTGGTCGTGAATTGGACCCCTCTGTCTCAGAAAATCCTCCGTGGTATTCCATGCAGGTGGTAGATGTGCTTCAGGAACAGCGTGGCTAACTGGCAGGCTGAGGGTAGTCCGCTGCAAGGTATGAAATGCACCTGTTTGGAAAATAAGTCTATTACAGTCCAGATCACCGTGTTTCCCGCACTTTTTGGCAACTCCACTATGAAGTCCATTGTAATCTCCTCCCAGGGCCTCATTGGCTCCGCTACCATTTGTCGCAGTCTGGAGGGGGTTTCCTGGTCGTTTTTTCATCGCGGCACAGATGATGCAACTTTTCATATAACTGTCCACGTCTTTCTTTATGCCAGGCCACCAGAACTGCCTCCAAGCCAAGTGTAAAGTCTTTAAGAACCCAAAGTGGCCTGCTGGTTTGGCATTGTGGCTCCTATGAAGAACTAGGGTGGGTAGGGATTCTGGGACATAGAGTTTTGTCCCCTTCCACACAAGTTATCTCTTTTTGTCAAGATGTGTTGATTGTCCCGGAACCAGGGGTCTGCTAGCAGTTTGGTTTTGAGTTTTGTAGTTAGGTTGTCTGCAGGTTGGTCTTGCCTGCTTCTCCCCATTTCAAAAGGCTCTGTAAAAATTTCCCTCTGGCTTGGGTGGCAGGACAGGCCATCATCTCAAATGGTGGCCTGTTCAGACCCCTCCCTCAGCTGCTCTATGGATCTCCCCAGGGATTCCATCAGGTACTTATCTGATTTTCTTCCTCCTAACGGAGCAGGTTTCTCCTCTTTGGAGTTGACGGGGAGGTGTCCTCGTTCTGTAATTATGCTACCAGTATCTTTTTGCTTCTGGCTGGAAGCGAAGCTTTCTCCTGATGGCCTCTGCCATGGCTGCCTGAGTTTCTCTCCACGCACCCCAGATATTGGGGAGTGATGGAAAAGGCCGGGACGCAGGCACCCCGGTGATTAATTATGAGAGTTGGCTATCTGTCAGGATTCCAGCAGTTACTCCAATTATACCATGAGCCTCGAGCCACACTCCCAAAACTAAAGAGGATTTATTAGAAGTTAACATTCCAGCATAGCCAAGTCTGAGATACGTAATTCATTGTCACCCTTGGCCCTCCTTTCCCCCCCACCCCGCTGGGTGTATCATCCAATGAAACACGTCCATAGCCAAGAGTCATCAATCATGCTCTCCAATTAGATTTTTGTATGGCAGATGCTTCAGTCATCTAATCCAGGGCTCGCCAACCTTTTGGGCCTGAGGGACCACCAAACTCATAATTTGAAATCCCGCGGACCAGAGACCCTGGGAAAATCCCCCCAAAAGTCTGCAGGAAAATTCCCCACCCTGTTTTCCTACCAATTGAACATTCTTTATTTGGGATTGCAGGATATCGTCTCCAGCTCCGTTCTCAGGGGAAGAGAGAGAGAGAGAGAGAGAGAGAGAGAGAGAGAGACTTTTGGCTTCATGCAAGGAAAGCAGCAGAAGCAGCAGAAGTCTTTCTTTCTCTCCCACAAACTCCACCAGAAATGAGTCTTTGTGAGACTTGTCATGCCTCTTGGAGCAGGAGGCCTTGCAGGGTCCCAAACACTCATTTCTGGCAGAGTTTGAGGGAGAGAAAGAGAGACTTTTGCTGTTTTCCTTGCATGCAGCCAAAAGCAGAAGAAGAAAGAAGCGGAAAGAAGCAGCCTGGATTAATTGCTTTGAGGGTAACATTTCTCTTTTGTGGACCACCAAAATTTTCTCGCGGACCACCAGTGGTCCCCAGCCACTGGTTGGCAACCACTGAACTAATCAGCCTTTGAGGAAAATATGAATGGAATGTATTTTCAATTCCACATTCCTGCCTGCTCTTTGAAACTCCCCCGCTTCTTTCTATTGACAACTATAAAATGTGTATACAAAATGTTTTATGAGTTGACACAGGCACTGAGAAAGGGCAGTCACAGCATTGCTTGGATCACCAGGGATGGAGATGTAGAGCTGTGTACATATCAATGATATCTCATCTCATGGTGTTGGATGATCTCACCCAATGGTTTCATGTAGATATTAAAAAGGAGCGGAGAAAGTACCAAGCCCTGTGGCATCCACAAATGGTGGCTGAGGACTGGACCTCTTGTCCCCTATTAACATCAGTTGCGACTGGCCAATCAATGTTTTTTTCTTCTTTTTCAGGAACAGCTTTGTCTATTTCAGCTGAAAAAAAACTGCTGAACAAAGTCTAGTTCAAGATGTGCCCAAAGTAAGCAAATGAAAACATACATTGTGGAGGTAGCCTTCTCTTTGCCATGCCCATGTTTGAATTGCTTGTGTCTCTATGCTAACCATAACTTCTTTAACTTCCATGAGTTGGACCTATGATTGCAGTGGATTTGTAGATTTCAATTAGATTTGGAAGCTATTATTCAAAACAACCAAAAGTCTTTGCCACATTTTAATACGGAATAAGTTTATGACATCACACTTTTGATATTCTGCAAGATTATCCACATTTATGTTGGTTTTTTTCCACAAAGAACTATCTAAGGTTATTCCTGCAACATCTAAACATATTTCAAATAGGTGAGCCTGTAATTCAACTGTGGTGAACACTAGGAGATGACTAAAGAGAATTAAACATATACACACAATCCAGGATAATTATATACAAAACAGGGGTATAGCAATGGCCTTATAATTAGATGTCCAATTCAGCTATCCAAGCAATTGCCTCTGGCATTGCTTCATGCAGATCTTTTAGGGAACTAGAAAATGCACATCATGGCATGACCAATCTTGCACAATATGCTTAATAGTTTGCATATTAGCACCACAATCGCAACAAGGGCAATCTTCCTATCGCCACTGATACAGGGCAGAGACACTTCTTCACACCTAATTCTGTTCAATTTCAACCAGACAAAGCAAGGTAGGCCAAAAACAAGTGGTTTGGTAGCAGGTTCATTAATGGTCAGGCCACAAGAAGGTACCTTGGACCAGGGGACGCCAACCTTTTGGACCTAAAGGGACCACCAAACTCATACTTTTAGATCCCAGGGACTACTAACTGGTTCTGTGGGTGTGGCCTAATTTGTGGGTGTGGCTTGGTGGTCATGTGACTGGCTGGGCATGGCTTGTATGTAAATATTATAAATACTTATATAAATATTGAATTTTTTATAAAAAAAGAGCAACTTTTACCCAAAATCAGACAAAGCAGGCAGATTGAGTTGCTCACAGAATCACAGATTCATTCAGATTCATTCTATCTCAGGGGTCGCCAACCTTGTGGACCTAAACGGACCACCAAACTCATAATTTTAGATCCCAGGGACCACTAACCAGTTCTGTGGGCATGGCCTAATTTGTGGGTGTGGCTTGGTGGTCATGTGACTGGCTGGGCATGGCTTGTATGTAAATATTATAAATATTTATATAAATATTGAAATTTTTATAAAAAAGAGCAACATTTACCCAAAATCAGGCAAAGCAGGCAGGCAGATTGAGTTGCTCACAAAATCACAGATTCATTCAGAAATCTATCTATCTGCCATTGGCTAGCTCAGTCTGTCACATAAATTTTGCTTTCAAGCAAACTCATAAAATTTGCTAGCAAGCAAACGCACAAAATTAACTCACAACACACCATGTATGTAAATATTGAATTGTTTTTATAAAAAAAACATTTTTACCCAAAATCAGGCAAAGCAGGCACATTGAGTTGCTCACAGAATCATTCAGTGATCTATCTATCTGCCTTTGGCTAGCTCAGTCTCTCAAATTTGCTTGCCATGAATCTGCACAGAATTTTGCTTGCAAGCAAACCTTCAGTCCTAAGGAAAGCAGAGCTGAAGATCTAAAGACTAGCTAGAAAGCAAGAAATCCAACCATTTCCTGCTTCCTAGCTAATCTAAATCTCCCGGCACAGCAGAACAGATGGTAGTTGGAAAAAGGAAAAATAGCAATTTAGCAGGCAAGTTTACCGGGTAAGGAGTGAGTGGGCGGGGAGTGTTCCTGTGGGCCATGTGAGCGGTGCAACATTGTGTTTCTGCGTAGCCTGGATTAATTGCTTTGTGGGGGTGCTCTGGGGATGAGATTTCTCTGCGGCCCACCAAAATTTTCTCACGGCCCACCAGTGGCCCACTGGTTGGCGACCGCTGCCTTGGACAATTTGTCTCTTCAGCATTCTCAGAGTTAAACTGGATAGAAGTTAAGTGAACAGCTGTTTTCCAGGTTGGCCTATGGGATTTCAATCTTGTGGTGGACTGTACGAAAGAAAAATAATAAATGCTTTCCATGTAGCTTCCACGGATCTTAAGAGACCCAGTGTTTCTCTTTTCATTATATAGATTAGGACAGATGTTTTAGGATGCCTGATACTGAAGAGAGACAGTAGTTATGATTTTTGGAAGGCAGAAGTATATGAACTGATACTGAATCCCCTAAACTAGCTTGCATGGTAGAATGGAAGCAACTCATACTGTATTAGATTACAACTCAATTGCTCACACAATTTTTTATTTGTCTGAGAATATAGCGTTTTAAGTACTTACTTTGAGTGATTGAGTGGGCTATTGTGGTCTTGTGACAAACTACTACTACTACATATCTGCTGATTACACAAACTAACAAAGTGGTATAGATTTGATATTTTCTATAGTTATAGAAATCCTCCATGTGAGAACCAACTCTGCCGGGAAGGATCTCTCTTCGTGTAGACAAGGTGTACACAAAATTTCTTCTAGGAAAGAAATGGTGAGCTGAAAATTTCTCTATGAAAAGTAGCTCCACAATGATAACCGTGGTGGAATGAAGAGCCAATGAGTCTTTGTCTCTTCGTCTATTTCTTTTTCTTTACTGTATTCTTCTTTTTTTTTTTTTATAAAAAATTTATTTGGGTTTTCACAAAACATAATACAAGTAAAATGTCTTTTTTTGAGAATAGTATAGTCCCGGGTTATCACTTCTCCATATAGACATACTGACTGTATTCTTATATTCCTATTTTTTTAAAAAAAAATTGTATTAATTTTAATCTTCTTAGTGGTAATATTTAATACAATTATTGCATTAAAAATGCTTCTTCATAAGATTGGCCAAATGTGTGAATGGTAGGATGGCATGGGGGCTGGGCAGGCTATCTGGTATGAAAAGCAGCTTTATTTCGTAAAGCTTTTTTTCTGCATCCTTTCTGTTTCTAGGGCCACCTGAACATCCCTTTAGTGTTGTCAGTTAGGGGTTGAATAGTAGAAGAATCAAATACAAGTATTCCCCACCTTACGATCAAAATTGAGTCCAATATTTTTGTTGCTATGTGAGACATTTCTTGAGTTTTGCCCCATTTTTATTACTTTTCTTGCCACAGTTAAGAGAATCTGTTAAGTTGTTAAGTTAGTAGCAAGACTGTTGAGTGAATCTGGCTTCCCCATTGACTTTGCTTGTCAGATTACAGAAGGTGATCATGACCCAGGGACACTGCAACTGTCATAAGTACAAGTCAGTTGCCAACCTTCTGAATTTTGATCACATAACCATGATGCTGCTGCAATGGTTATAAGTGTGAAAAATGGTCATAAACCACTTTTTTCAGTGCCGTTGTAACTTTGGGCACTCACTAAATGAACTGTTTGTAAGTCAAGGACTACCTGTACCAAAATTTAATCCTGACAGATATCCTTATTAAGAAAATGTTTGCATGGAAATTAAATATTCATATTTAGGGAGTGTGTTTGTATGGGCACACACATATCCACCAAATTAAAATGAACAGAGAAAGATATGTATGTATTTGAAACCAGTGTGCAATTATGAAGTATTCAAAGAACCCTTATCACATTAGGTTCAGTCGATTTATGAGGACTATGCATAGTCCACATCAGAGGTTCAACAGGTTCTGACCAGTTCTGGAGAACTGGTAGTGGAAATTTTGAGTAGTTCAGAGAACCAGCAAATACCACCTCTGACTGGCCCCGCCCTTTCTATTCTCTGCCTCCCGAGTCCCAGCTGATTGGCTGGGTCTTCTTTTGTTGCCCTGGATAGGAGAACAAAGCTGGAAAGCAGGTTAGTGGGGTGGGGAGGGAATGGAGATTTTGCAGTATCCTTCCCCTGCCACTCCCACCAAGCCATGCCCACCAAGCCACGTCCATAGAATCGGTAGTAAAAAAATTTGAATCCCATCACTGGTCCACATAAATCAATTTGCCACCTAATAAGCTTAAAGTGATCCTTAAAAAAGAGAACAGAAGTTTTCGTTATCTTTATGTGCCCAAACATTTCTAATGTTCTGTGTGTACATAAGTTGTTAAGTATTCTTTGATTCCTTTGGTGTGATGTCAGAGATGGAAAGTTCCACATCCATTGTTCAGAATCTGTCAGGCAAATAATCAGGTTCAAAGATTATGCTGCTATTTACCTCAGAGAAAGAGGTGATAAAGGAAAAATAAGGCAGTGAAGATGTCAAAAGTGTCTTTTGAGGGTATAATCACTGAAGATGACAAAAGGCCACATTGGGAAAATAAAACCCAATACCTTTTAAGCTGCATTGGATTTGCTGTAGGCTTTGGAAATGTATGGCGTTTTCCCTATTTGTGCCATATTTATGGCGGAGGTAAGAGAAAATTAGACCTAAGATAGTCCCACTTATTCTTCCATTATGTCTACATATGTCCTTCAAGCTTCTTCACTAAAAAAGCCAAATCCATTATTTTAGTCCAATGGATTATAATAATGGAACTGAAAATTAGTCTCTGAAATCTTATAATCTTTTGTGGTTTCCAAGGTTAAAAGGCATTGGAGACTAGTCAGCTAAGAATGCAAGGTATAACTATCAATAAGCACCTGATTTCATGTTAACAAAGAGAGAGGGAAAATTAATGAAAGAAAGGTTTATTTAAGGAAGGGAAATTGTAGTAGTCCAATTATTAGTAAGATTAAAAAAGCGGAAGTGTCAGAAGACACCACAGTAGTAAGTAGTAATCTATTCTCTGTTCTACCTTTGCTTTGACATTGGCTTCAACCAGCTGGTAACTGGCTACATTTATTTATTATTTATTTTATTTTATTTTATTTTATTTTATTTTATTTTATTATTTTATTTTATTTTATTTTATTTTATTTTATTTTATTTTATTATTTTATTTTATTTTATTTTATTATTTTATTTTATTTTATTTTATTTTATTTTATTTTATTTTTTATTTTATTTTATTTTATTTTATTTTATTTTATTTTATTTTTATTTTATTATTTTATTATTTTATTATTTTATTATTTTATTATTTTATTTTATTTTATTTTATTTTATTTTATTTTATTTTTTATTTTATTTTTTATTTTATTTGTCAGTCGCTTACAAGATAATAGGTATAAGCATAAACATGAGTAAGAATACAGGAAACAGGTATGAATACATGGGGACAATAGGACAGGGA